TCCGTCCTGCCCGCCCTCCCGGTTCCCTCTGCCGCGGCTCCTCGGCAGCGCTTCCCGGAGGGGCTGTACGGCTGTAGCACCTTCCCATGGCTTTCCGTTTTCTTGGCCCGCTGTGCGGCGCAGTGTGCTGGTGGGATGATAGAGGAGCAGGCTGCTTTATCTTAGCCTTGTTGCTGCTGCTTTTTATCTGCATGCAGAGAAACCTGGTGGAGGGTTAAGATTCTTCTTTGTAGCTTTCAAGCTTCCCAGTAGCTGTTCTGACCAAACTGCTTGTTTTTTTACTACTGTTTCAGCCCCAAGATGAAATAGAAGTTGAAGATGGGTTCAAACAGTACGATGGTAAGGCTTTACTACAGTGTTCTCCAAGTGTAACTCAAAACCTTTCAGTATTTTGATCCTTTGTGCTGTTCCTCTACTGATTCTATTACTAGATGATACTTCATTACTGCTTAATGATAGCTGTCTGTTTTGTCTCAGTGATTACTGCATTAGATATGGAAGCTATGATGAGCACCATAAATGCTTGGATGAAAAACCCAGTCAAGTTTGAACGCTCTCATGGGATCAACAACACACTGGATGCCCAGATCTTGCAAGATAAGGAGGGAGGAGATGAAACAATCCACATTCTTATTGTTGAAGGCTTCCTGCTTTACACCTACAGGTAATCAAATGTGCTTCCATATGTTTTAATTTTTACCTGGGTTTATGTGCTGGGTTTGCCTCCACAGGAATCAAAAGACCTGTCACAAACCAAGAGGTAGCAACTGGTGTTGACTGGAGATGCTGAGCTTAGGTGTCACAAGTCTGAAGATAGCTCAGGGTATAGGAGATGGATGTAGTTTTACCTTTCCTTTTCCTGCTACTAATCAAACAGTCTGGCTGTAACCAAACATGTGTCTCTTTCAGGCCACTGATCGATGTGTTCCACCATCGGTACTTTCTTTCCATTCCATATGAAGAGTGTAAAAGAAGAAGAAGGTAAGTTTATCTTTCCAAGTTCCCTTGCTTTTCCAGTAATATCTTACTCTGTTTAAGACAGTGTTTCTCTGAAGCTCTTAGATACAAAAGGATAAACACTAACATAGCTGCTATGTTAGGAGACTGTAGCTTCCTTCACCAGAGGAGCCCAAATTCCTACCAAGCTGCTGTGTATGCAAGACTAGTGCTCAGTTTCTGCACAGATCTTCCTGTAGGTTTTCACCCCTTCCTGTTTTTTCCATGATACAGTTCCCAGGTCTCAAACTACCCTGGGGGTCTGTATTTGGCTGTACTGTTGTACACATACTGTTCTAATGAAAATTAGATGTGTTAAACTTGATGTTACGTTTCAGAGGAATTGTTTCAGAGTTGTTTTACCCAAAGTTCTGCTAAAGCTGTAAGAGAACATTGTAAAGATCCTGTCTAAGATACCTTTTGTGCATCTCAGGACCCACACATGAAATTCCAACTCTTGGGTATCTTTATGCTTGCAACTTATGTTAAATACTGACTTGGTAAGCTTAGTAACTACATTGGAGGAAATAGGCTCAGGCTAGTGTGTGGAGAAGCTGAATGAACTGTTATTTACCTGAACTGTAATTAAGACTAGTCTTGAATAACAGTGTCTTAATTTACAGTTCAAGGAATTACACTGTACCGGATCCACCTGGATTGTTTGATGGCCACGTTTGGCCTATGTATGTAAAGCACAGGAAGATAATGGAAGATCTTGGAGTTGATGTGGGTAAGTCTTTAATGACAAAAGCACTTTTGAAAGATTGCTTTATGAGAGTGCTTTTCAAACCTGGGATATACATCCTGGTTAGATACATGAGAGGAGCTGAAGCAGGTGGATGGAGTTTATTTCTCTGATGCCAGTCAAGTACATGCTCTTTAAATTGTGATCTGGCAGGCTTACAGAAACGTTCAGCTCTCTTTATTTTATTTTAAGTGCACTTGAATGGAACAAAATCAAAGGAAGAGCTGTTTAATGATGTGTATGGACAGATCCAGAATAAGATTGAAGAATTACTTAACATGCAGGTACATGTTTTATGCTTCTAATTGCAACTCAAAGGCAACCCTTTCAAGTGCTGTATTGAAAAAGCATGAAGCTCTAACTTAACACATGTTCATGTGTATCTTTCTGTTTAGAAATAAGCTGCTGCTGATGATTCTTGTGAGTGAAGATGATTCCTGTTTGCTCCACACTGTCTACCTGACTGCCACTAAAGTTCCAGCTTCTGTGAAGACTTTCAAACTCCTGAATTTAACTCCGTTCCATCTTCCCTTGAAACTGAGTCATATATGGTCATAATTAAAAAGCACTTCCCCTGTGTCTGTCATCTTAATTTGTGCTTCAGCCTAGTATGTAGTCTCAGATGTTGCCAGTCTTCTCCCAGTCTCTAGTGTACTGGAAATTCTTTTCACTGTGTTCTTAACCTGGGAGAGTAAAACGTTCTAGTGGAACTGATGTGGAAGTAGCACAACTATCCTTGGGGAATGTATGCACATATATACACACATATACTGCTTGGAGTGACTTAATTTCAATAACCTGCATTAATTGCTATAATCCATCTAACCAGGCAGCAAGTATGCTTTTTGATCAATAAATTTAAGATTTATTTTGCTCTTCAAGAGAACAAGAGGAGGTTTTCAGGCCATTCCACTAGCATTGAATTATTTTGTTAAATGCAGTGCACACATTGATCTCAGATACAAACAATTCAGTTTAGAGTCAGGGAGAAAATCCTCTACATACAACAGCTTTAAAAAACCCAGTTGTTCTAGATTTCAGTACTGTTCTGCAGCTTAAGGCAAGTTCAATCTCCTGTGCATATACAGAAATAATGTAAGGCCTTGGTGTACATAGAAGAGCCATGAAAGAGCATGCCAGGGCTTAATCCTTAGTATGGGGGAAGTGAATTTAGAACAAAAGCTTGATTTTAGAAAAGTAAAAAAAAAGCAGCAGTCTTATTAGGTACTCCAAAAGGGAAGATCTGTACTGATCCTTTATGAGACCAGTCCCTTTTCTTCAAAAAGGTTTGATCAACACGAAACCAGCACTTACTTCAAGCCCAGATGCATTAGCTTCCTGATAGGAGCTGGTCCTCCCCAGTATCCCCTAGAAATGCAGAAAGTGGTTTCATCAAGTTATGTGTATGTACTATCATAGTACATACATAGTACATATATCAAAGTAGGGTTGGGGGGGAGGAAATGTTTTCTTTTACTCCCACAAGATCTCATACTTGTTAGTTAGGGGTTCGTTTTGAAAAATCATCTTTGTTTCAGTGAGGTTTCCAGTTGTGCAGAGGGTGCCCTTTGTGCAATTCAACCCTGTTCTGTTTGAACAAACCCATATTGGCAGCAAAGTGCCCAGAATTCTCCACTGAGGTTTTGGTCATGCACTGTGATTGCTTCTATTCTAGCAAGGAACTAAGAACAAATATCTGTACTTTGCTTTTTCCTGAATGAATGCAGCAGCTCTGCCTGCTCAGAATTTAAATACTTACTTAAGTAGTGCATTCCAATAGAGAACAGGCATCATATCAGCTTTCATGTGGTACATGGTTACCCTCTCCTTGCTCTGGTCAATGGGAAAGGTCTCCAAAGGCTGAGCATCATAGTCAAATTCTGCCAGAATCACCTTGTTGTAGCCTGTTACGAGCGGGCAGGAAGTATATCCATCATACTGCAATGAAGAACACCTCTTCAAAAACCTGAGCAAAGTCTAAATGCTGAGCCATATACTTAACATCTTTCAAAATAAGTTACTCGGGTTTCTGCATTCACAGTGTTCATACCAGTGAGTGTGGAAGGCTGGCGAAACAATTATATAAAGCCATACTTTGCTTAACAACTTTGCTTAAATTAGGCCTAACCTAGAACAATAGGGCTTTGTGTCATTAATTGTTGGTTATTATTGTAACCAGCAAAATAGGTGACCAGTACATCAGGATGACAGCTGGTGCTGGCTTTAACAGACAATATATAAACAAGATCTTGAATCTATACGCAAGAATTTCCAGAGCTTTGCAGGAGTATGGATGATGATAACCAGGTTAGTACCCTAAGGAAGATTAATTTAGAAGCCATAGGTAAAATGAAAGCCAAGTTTCAAAGAGAAATTTGAACATAGCTACAGGCTTAACATCTGCAGTACAAAAATTTCCATTTAACTCCTTAAAAGATCGTGTTCTGTACAGGGGAGACAAGTTTAACATTGTACAAATGTGCAAGTCTTTTCTTGGAGTAGGGATTATACTAGTCAAGTAAGTCACCTGCATCGGTGAAGAACCTAGACTAATCAGCCTTTATGCTTCTTTTAGCTCAGAAGTCAGGGAATTAAATAGATAATATTTTTAACAGTAGCACCAAGAATACAAATTGTGCAACTACAATGATGACATGCAGGATTTAGCCATGTAGCACCCCAGCTGCTGCTGCAAAGCCCTTCCTGCCTTCCGGTTCACACGGTTCAGCTGCTTGCAGACTTCCTGCATAACAACTGAGTAAACAATGTAACTTATCCCTAAGACAAAAACTGTAGGTACCTTTTTAGTTGGCAGCTGGTTCTTCATTACCAGGGAAATAGTTTTATCAAGCACTCCAGACTGTGCAGCTACATAAGAAAGAAAGAGAGTGTATTAAGGCTTGGTTTCAGGCAGCAATTGTCACTACTAAAGCAAACACTAGTAACCAGGCGTTTTGTTGGACAAGTCAGCTGTAATTGACTTTACATGTCAAATCAGTTTGGGAAATGTACAGTCCCAGATATGAAAAAAAAATTAATTGAATAAGGCTTTGGCCTCACTGTTTCCAACATGTTACAGCTTAATACAGCTTGGGCTATATGTTTTTAGCCTATGCCCATTCTCCTATGCTGTCACACTTCCTCAGCCTTCCCAAACACCAAGATTCTGGCACACTAAAGTTTTGTTTCATTTTCAGTGCTGTAAGGGAAGTATTCTAGACACATTTGCTGGAATTTTTTACTATATCATTCTTTAAGTTATATCAATAACATACTGTATGGCCTTTTTTTCCCCCGCTTTCTTGTGTTTTTTAGTTGTGAGACCATATGTGTACTGTTTGTACAGTGGACCTTGTGGCTACAAGCACTGAACATGTGACTCTTCAATAGTGACTTATCAGTTAGCTGACACGTGTGCATGAGCTGCTAAGATAGAGCACAAAGTTTTGTTACTGAATGATGACAGAATGCAAGAGCAGTACACTCATTTTATGCTGTCCCATGATCACTGAAAATAGAATTAGTTCACCTGTGAGGCATCCTCTACAAGAGAACTGGGGGGGTTAATGGCATCAGCATGGTCTGTAGCTAATTAGCTGGCCCAGGAGACTTAGGTCTTTTTAAGAGCTGGAAATAACTGAAGTCAAGACCTCAGGAATAAGAAACTCCTACACTTTTCATTACACACACAAACATGCAACTTTACCTACAGCTGCAGCTGTTTTTGAGGTTGGAAGGTTGGTGCAGTCTCCAATACCAAATACATTAGGATACTTTTTATGTTGCAGAGTTTCCTTATCTACATCCACCCAGCCATTTTCATCTGCGACAGGACTGTTGATGAGTACATCAGGTGGCCCCATTGGAGGTGTGACATGAAGCATTTCATACTAGATAGAAAGAAAAGGTACTCAATGGCTAGTTTACCAGAGCAAATAATCCCAGTGTTCATAAAAGGCAATAAATGCCAGGTGGAGAGTAATTTATTTATTTTTTTTTTAATTAAAAAACCCACAAATATATAGAATGAAAATTTGCTCTCAAATTTGAAGTGCATCCTTTTATTGACATCAACCTTATTAGGAAACCTCATTTAGACTGTCATAACAGCAATTTGCCTTCCTCTGTACACATCCCAGACATTCCCAAGTTACACTAACAAGGCACACAGGACTCCAGGCATAGTTTATGAAATGTTTTTTTCTTCTCCACACCCTGGCTTCAAACGTTTTAATCTGCTACAGTTAAAGGCGGAACTCTCAGGAGAAAAAAGAAGCATGCAATGAAGTAGACATTATGTTATTATAGTGTGGCAGTTCAGTTACAGTATACAGGGAAAAGAAAGAGGACCAAACTAGAGGTCTGAAAGCTCCTGACCTGATGAACTTCAGTCACTCCAGGTTTGTCCAAGTTTTCAAACACAGCCTCCTGCTTGTCCGCTCGAACTTCTACGAGGTTGCGCTTATAGTTAACAGCAATATTCCTCTCCTTTATTATTTCAAGCAATGCATCAGCATACTTCTTCACACCAAAGATGGCACCAAGTGAAGTGTTGAACATTATGTCTGCTTTGGAACGTTTTCCTGTCTGCACAAAGAGATCAAATTAGCCTTTTCTGTTAAGAAACTGTGACAAGCTAGCAGAGACCAAAGAACTATGCTGTACTACTGAAGAGCTGACAGAACTATTAATGCAATTCAATTTATTAACAAATATTAACATTAGAACCCTTGAGATACAGCTATTTCACACCGTGCTTGAAGCTAGACAAGATAACATTCACCCTTTCTGAGCAAGGTACTAAAGACACCGCAAACAAATTGCTAGTGAGAAGAGGTGGCTGCTATTCACTGAGGAACTGCTGTATAGAGGTTGAGAATCTGAAGCAGCTTGGCATTATAAACCTTTCAGAAACCTTCAGTTCTATATATTACTCAGTTACTTGCCCAGTAGACAGCTCATGAAACAAAGATGTATGAAGCCTGACACTTCCACTTGAAGATGTCTTTTGTTTCCACTTGCTCTAACAGCCTGGCTAAGACTCCTCCTGATGTCGAGATGCTGCACCACAAGGAGCAAGGACAGCCACTTTTCAGACTAGCAGAAAGACAAATGGCAACAGGTTTTAAGTACTTAAAGTAGAAGAATTCCAGCCAGTGTGACTTCAGTGCACCACCTGAAGTGACAAAGTAAGCTGAGAACATATCTGTAGCTCATCAGAAGCAGGGTAAGCAGTTCTTCCCTCATGGATTCTAAATTCTGTAAGTTTCTCCAGTATTAAATATATGCTAAATATTTATGTATTATTTGAGTTAGCTTCATTTATTATACATTAATAATAGAAAAAGCAACTCAGTCACTTTAATAATTCTGAGTCACATTCTGTCATGTTTTTATAATTTGTTTGAAAGATATTATGAACCCCTTAGACCAAGCCTTCCTTCCAATTGTGGGAACAAGCACTGGCAGAAAGAGTAAAATACTTACTTTCCTCCAGTAGGCTTCTGATAAATACATGATCTTCTGAGGAGCTCCTGCACACTTCACTGGAGTATTTGGAAAAGTGAAGATAGCATTTCCTTCCTTGAAATCTTGTAAAGCTTTCCATGTTTTCTCTACCGTATGAACTGAATAATTGGAACCTATTTTAGGGTGATGAAAACCTTCAGGCAAGCCTTTGATCTAAGAAAATGAAATTAAGGTTTAAAGTACAGATGGCAAAAATTTTGTCATCATCATCAAGTATGAAATGCAGACTTGAGAAAAGCCCATATACACTTGCTAGTTGGCATTTTTTTAAATAAGCCTAGCAATCAAACAGATATTTCCACTAGAATTTAGTAGATGATTTAGTAGATGTAACATTTACTGAAATGACTCTGTTCTGCAACATCTGTAAGCACAACTATTCAGTGCAAACCCAGACCCAACTTTTTGTAGATTGGTGCATGACACTCAGTGTAAGACTATATGAAGTCACTGCCACATCATTGTAAGTAAAAATCATGTGAGGGGGAAAAAAAAAAAAAAAAAAAAAAAAAAGGCATCTGAAAATGTATAAGCTAAATGCAACTTTTCAGATTCCTGTATTTCATAGTGTTATTTTGTTTCAACTCAAGTGCCTCCAATATTTCCCTACTCCTGAGCACCTGCTTGTAAGGAAGGGAGTTGTCCCCATTTCAAGATAATGGATTGCAGAAATTCTGTGAGTAGCCAGACCATGTCACATGCACTGCAGTGTTTCCGGAATGCTACAGTCTCCATCAGGAAGTATGTTGTTGGTGAATACAAGTAAGAGAAAACACCCTTCTTATTTAAATGGCCACTTCCATTTTAAAACCATAAAAATCTGCTGCTATAAATTTTATTCGTGACAGAGTAATAGTGATTAACTGTATTACATGGCTTCTGCTGCTGAATACTGCATTTCGTTTTCTCTGGTTGTAGTGAAGAGATAAACATGAAGACAGAGGGGGTCACTGAACACAGTGCAGCTCCTCATTCCACTGACCTAACCACCAGAATGTCTTTGGTGTGACTGTGGTTTACCAGAACTTGCTCTTGCTTTCCACATGCCCTGGGAGCTTTTCAAGGAGATACCTAAATATGTTACCAGGTACTACATCATATTCAGGTCAGGTTAAAACCACAACAGTCAAGTCACTCAAACATCTTTCCTTTGTGTTCTCCCCCTCCTATATATGGTTATTCTTGTGCCATCCAGTGGTACTAACATTTTCCTCTGAGTGCCACTGTAAAAAGTGGACAGGAAGCCTAAAAGATGGGAAGGGCCCCAGAGCCCATTTAAACATAAGTGTGGTGGCTCAGCTGGTACCTTTAGAAGTGTATCCTATAAGAAAGGTGAGGGGGGGTGAAATTAATTCTGCAGGACTGATTTTACTGACTGCTTTGTTTTCTTCACTTCTGTTTACATTGAAGAAGTTTTGGAAAGTCAGAATACCTTATGATCTCATTATTACATATTGCCTTTAAGTTCTAGATTTACCCTGCTGCCCCATCTGCTGATATTCCCATAGAGATGCAACAAAGCTGTTTAAAAAAAAAAAAATTCCAAGGGTAATTTAGGTTATTACATAGAGATCTGTAGAAGGAATAAAGTCATTAGGCTGTCTTCTGGCTCTTTTATTCATATTAGTGTTCCATATCTTGCAGTAAAAAATGTGTATTGAAAAAGCCATTTACTTTATGGAATCATAAGGGTACGTGATGCCATTAAAACTAGCAAAAATATGATAACTGTAAAACAAGTACCTTTTCATAATGCAGACTAATCCCAAGGGCAATTATCAGATACTTGTAAGATACCTGTTATTTAAGATTAAAAAAAAAAAAAAGTATTTTAGACAAAAAAATACATTACTTTAAAGCAAATGTAAGTTATCTGACAGCAACAGAGTCATAACGGAGGAAGCTATAGGAAGCATTAGTAATATGAATGTTAAACTAAGAATAATGTATAGTTAAAATGCTAACTACATTATGGGTTAGACACAGCCTTTGCTGTACACAAAACCAAGAGTCTGGAGCAAATTATTCTATCTTTTGTGTTCAGTTCCCTATATAAAGGAAAAAAAACCTATGGAATTTTAAGTTGATGGCATTCTAACCTAGTTATCTACAACAAATTTTATTAGAAACAGACTTTAGAATCAAGTACCTCTCATAAGACTAACTAGAATTTCTTGGCCTCCTAGATGCTGCAGGAAGGTCTTGCTCAACAGACACTTCCAAGGGGATCTGCAGGAGATGGACAGACAACTTATAACATAGAATAAGAGACTAGGAATACCTTGGCATCATTCTCCAGGCAGACACAGTTCCTATCTGGATCCAATGCTGTGACTCGAGATTGGATCCACTCAACACCTTTAGGCATCACACTTCCTGTTGGACGTGCAGATGCTGCCAGCTGCTTTGCACCACCACCAACCAGGGTCCACAGTGGCTGATAGTAATGAGTCTGAAATACATGTTAAGTGGATGTTTAAGAACTGTTTAAAGGGACTTGAAGATGAAGACACATCACTCCAAGTAGGAAGCAATGTGTTCTTAATATTGTATTATTCTTAACAAAAGAAGCTGTATAAATAGCCAAGAGTTTTGCATGACAAAGCTGGAGGGATGCAAGTGCCTCCATAATGGAGCAACAAATTTCATGTAAAGCCTTCTAAAAGATGGTTAGTTGGCTTCCTCTCCACAGTTAAAAACATGTGGGGTTAGGAAGGCATGACAATCAGACCCATCTGGTCATAAATGTAAAATGCTTTTTATTTTCACTGCTTTACAGTCAAGGAAGACTTACCTTACTTGGCTCAACAACAGCCACATTTCCTGCCCCCACTTTCCTTTTCATCCGAGCACTCATGGTGATTCCACCAGTGCCTCCACCCAACACAAGCACTTCATAATAATCCTTGGCAGCACACCTGGCTGCTGTATGGAAGCTGAAGGAGCTCATCTTCTGCATCCCTCCTTTCATGAATGGGAAAAAAAAAAAAAAAAAAAAAAAAAAAAAAAAGGCATCTGAAAATGTATAAGCTAAATGCAACTTTTCAGATTCCTGTATTTCATAGTGTTATTTTGTTTCAACTCAAGTGCCTCCAATATTTCCCTACTCCTGAGCACCTGCTTGTAAGGAAGGGAGTTGTCCCCATTTCAAGATAATGGATTGCAGAAATTCTGTGAGTAGCCAGACCATGTCACATGCACTGCAGTGTTTCCGGAATGCTACAGTCTCCATCAGGAAGTATGTTGTTGGTGAATACAAGTAAGAGAAAACACCCTTCTTATTTAAATGGCCACTTCCATTTTAAAACCATAAAAATCTGCTGCTATAAATTTTATTCGTGACAGAGTAATAGTGATTAACTGTATTACATGGCTTCTGCTGCTGAATACTGCATTTCGTTTTCTCTGGTTGTAGTGAAGAGATAAACATGAAGACAGAGGGGGTCACTGAACACAGTGCAGCTCCTCATTCCACTGACCTAACCACCAGAATGTCTTTGGTGTGACTGTGGTTTACCAGAACTTGCTCTTGCTTTCCACATGCCCTGGGAGCTTTTCAAGGAGATACCTAAATATGTTACCAGGTACTACATCATATTCAGGTCAGGTTAAAACCACAACAGTCAAGTCACTCAAACATCTTTCCTTTGTGTTCTCCCCCTCCTATATATGGTTATTCTTGTGCCATCCAGTGGTACTAACATTTTCCTCTGAGTGCCACTGTAAAAAGTGGACAGGAAGCCTAAAAGATGGGAAGGGCCCCAGAGCCCATTTAAACATAAGTGTGGTGGCTCAGCTGGTACCTTTAGAAGTGTATCCTATAAGAAAGGTGAGGGGGGGTGAAATTAATTCTGCAGGACTGATTTTACTGACTGCTTTGTTTTCTTCACTTCTGTTTACATTGAAGAAGTTTTGGAAAGTCAGAATACCTTATGATCTCATTATTACATATTGCCTTTAAGTTCTAGATTTACCCTGCTGCCCCATCTGCTGATATTCCCATAGAGATGCAACAAAGCTGTTTAAAAAAAAAAAAATTCCAAGGGTAATTTAGGTTATTACATAGAGATCTGTAGAAGGAATAAAGTCATTAGGCTGTCTTCTGGCTCTTTTATTCATATTAGTGTTCCATATCTTGCAGTAAAAAATGTGTATTGAAAAAGCCATTTACTTTATGGAATCATAAGGGTACGTGATGCCATTAAAACTAGCAAAAATATGATAACTGTAAAACAAGTACCTTTTCATAATGCAGACTAATCCCAAGGGCAATTATCAGATACTTGTAAGATACCTGTTATTTAAGATTAAAAAAAAAAAAAAGTATTTTAGACAAAAAAATACATTACTTTAAAGCAAATGTAAGTTATCTGACAGCAACAGAGTCATAACGGAGGAAGCTATAGGAAGCATTAGTAATATGAATGTTAAACTAAGAATAATTTATAGTTAAAATGCTAACTACATTATGGGTTAGACACAGCCTTTGCTGTACACAAAACCAAGAGTCTGGAGCAAATTATTCTATCTTTTGTGTTCAGTTCCCTATATAAAGGAAAAAAAACCTATGGAATTTTAAGTTGATGGCATTCTAACCTAGTTATCTACAACAAATTTTATTAGAAACAGACTTTAGAATCAAGTACCTCTCATAAGACTAACTAGAATTTCTTGGCCTCCTAGATGCTGCAGGAAGGTCTTGCTCAACAGACACTTCCAAGGGGATCTGCAGGAGATGGACAGACAACTTATAACATAGAATAAGAGACTAGGAATACCTTGGCATCATTCTCCAGGCAGACACAGTTCCTATCTGGATCCAATGCTGTGACTCGAGATTGGATCCACTCAACACCTTTAGGCATCACACTTCCTGTTGGACGTGCAGATGCTGCCAGCTGCTTTGCACCACCACCAACCAGGGTCCACAGTGGCTGATAGTAATGAGTCTGAAATACATGTTAAGTGGATGTTTAAGAACTGTTTAAAGGGACTTGAAGATGAAGACACAACACTCCAAGTAGGAAGCAATGTGTTCTTAATATTGTATTATTCTTAACAAAAGAAGCTGTATAAATAGCCAAGAGTTTTGCATGACAAAGCTGGAGGGATGCAAGTGCCTCCATAATGGAGCAACAAATTTCATGTAAAGCCTTCTAAAAGATGGTTAGTTGGCTTCCTCTCCACAGTTAAAAACATGTGGGGTTAGGAAGGCATGACAATCAGACCCATCTGGTCATAAATGTAAAATGCTTTTTATTTTCACTGCTTTACAGTCAAGGAAGACTTACCTTACTTGGCTCAACAACAGCCACATTTCCTGCCCCCACTTTCCTTTTCATCCGAGCACTCATGGTGATTCCACCAGTGCCTCCACCCAACACAAGCACTTCATAATAATCCTTGGCAGCACACCTGGCTGCTGTATGGAAGCTGAAGGAGCTCATCTTCTGCATCCCTCCTTTCAGCAGCCATACACCAGGACAGAGACAGGAACAGGAGGACACTACTCCAATTGCTGACATCTTTCAGTAAGTAGAAGGCTACAAGATAAGGAAAGGCACCAGTAACTGTAACAGAAGGTAGAATTTTTACTTATTGATATGCCTTGATGAGTCTTCAAGGCAAGAATTATAATACTAAAACTTTCTTGCAGCTAACCACTAACTTGCAAATGGATTGTAATCAATTTGGGGAAAAAAAACAACAACACAGCTTCTGCCAGGAAATTGAAATTTCATACAAGCAAATGAATTCTAACAAAGTAAGATCATTTTCTGGTTATTGTGGCAGGAAAGTGCATCTGATCCTATAGCACAGGTAGTGCATATGCTGTAACTCCAGCTCTAGTATTACCAACCTGAAGAGATGGGTGCAGCAAAAAGGAATGAGAACTTGCTAGGTGTTGTAGATCAATGAAACGTTGAAAAAGGTAGTTATGTGAACATGCTGAGTGCCATGTGTATTTTAATGTCTTAAGAAGTACCAGCATTTGCACACATCAGACATCCCTCCTCACTGCTGCAAGCCATTAGGGTAAGCATGCCAAGTTCTATGGTGCTTTGAACAAGGGCACGTGTATCAGCCTGTCCTTGCAGGAGAAGTCATGAGGCCTAAGCTTGACAGAAAAACCAAGTTCAATGAGACAAGAGTTTACATCTTCCTAGACCTGGCATGTCTGACTATACCCAAGACACTTAGTCCTCTATCCTCTTAGCTTTCACATCAGCAAAGTAGCTGGACATGAAGGTCAGCACCACAGCACTGGAGATGCAATTGTGTTATACAGAAGACAGTCAAGGTTAATTCATGTTTCCCTCCCTCTGTTAGAGTGAACAGGAGCTTTTCCTGTTCTAAATTCATTGTTTGCACACGCTGAATGTTTTTGGCTTTTCACTGATAAAAAAAGGTACATAATTTTAATTCAGTTCCTTATTGCCATGCTGCCAATAAAGAATGAGTAAGCATTATAACCTGAAAAGCAACTTATGACAAGACTTTCCTTTGTTCTATACTTGGTCCCCTTTGTTTAATTCCTTGAGTCATCAGGCAAGAATTCCAGCTTTTTACTTAAAAAGGGTAGAACTCATTTAAGGTACAGCTAAGAGTTTGAAAACCAAACTAGCAACCTCAGATATCATAAAGAAAACCTTCCAAGATCAGCTTTAAAAATTCTCCACTAAGCTAGATGTGGTTGAGCAATTCCTTTTGCACCTTCATGCACCTTGTCCATTATAACATTCTTCATCTCAGTGTACCCTGAATTCTTTATTAACTCCTGCAGTACAATGAATTTGGGACAGTCAGGGAAAACCTCAGAGGTTTCCACTGTAAAAACAATGTTAACAATTTTGTTTTACAGGAAGTCTTCAAAATGCAGAAATGATCTTTCCATCCCCTCCTCCCCATTCAAAATAGAACACCTAATTCTAGAATAAGCTAGTTTCACTTCAGAAGGCTGTTTATCAGCTGTCTCATGCAGATGTGGACAGACAGCTCAAGCAAGGGGAGGAAGTTGCTCCAGCCCTAGAAACAGAAGTTGCCTGGTGGAGCTGTGTACTGCTTTCTCCAAGTCAGAGAGAGACGAATTGTGAAGATAAGTTTTACAACTTTGTGACAGTTCAAGGAGGAACATCCTGTTTCTGGAAGTTCACAAACACAGGGTTTTGCTTTGAGTTTCATTAAACACAGAGAACAGGGACTGTGGCCTGCTGGTTTACTACCCACAGAATGTCCTGGACCAATTTAACAAGGCTTCATTTTTGTAATGTTAAGGAATAATTATCCTCTCTGACCAAACAGCAAAACACAAGCAAAGTGATAAATTACACCAAAATTAAGTTTCTTCTCCAATGCACTTATTAGTTCACATGCTGGTCTGATATGGAAGGCACTTTGTCACAATTCATTTTGCAGTATTACCAAGGTAAGTCCACAGAACAGGTACATCCTCAGACCCAAGGGACACACACAAAATAATACTGTGTTACAAATATCCTCTTGTGAGGTCTACAGATTCCTATCCAGTAAATAAGCCTTAAGACATACAACTAGTGCCTAGAACAAACACTTAACCAAAAAAAGCATGACACTTCATGCAGAGACATTTTGGGAAACTACATTATTCTCCTCTCTGGAGTATCTATCATAAGCTTTGCTCCCAGACTGACCTAACTGAGCCAGCTTAACAACAACCTGTTGCAGGGAGTCAGAACAAACCAAGTTAGAAATATCTAACCAGCAAGAGTAAAGATCACTGCGGCTACCCCGCAAACAGCCGGCGGCAGATTAGCAGGTTAAACAAGAGGTGCGGTCAGCAGTTCCCTGCCCCGCTGCGGGGCCCTCAGCCCGCAGGGAGCGGCCAAGGGGCTCACAGCTCTGCCGTCCCGGGCGCCCCGAGGGCCGAGGCAAACGCAGCCCGGGCAGGAGCTGCCGCCCGGTAAGGGAGAGCAGCACCAGGAGCAGCACCAGGAATGCACAAGGCAGCGCCCGGGGCCGCAACAGCCGTGGCTGCGGGGGCGGGCAAAGGCGCAGCGGGGCCTCCCGCAC